CTATCAAATGTGATATTATAATTTCCCAGCAATCCTGATAGAATGCCATAGAGAAGCCATTTGGTCTAGGGGCTTTAGATCTCTCCATTGAGAAAACTGACTCATGAATCTCTTCCACAGTGAATTGCTTTTCTTGGAGAGTTTTTTCACCTTCCTAAACTCTACTCCAATCCAGATCCTCTACCTCCAAACTCCTTTCATCTAAAGTGGAAAAAATTAACACCTGACCATCCACCTCAACACTAGAAATCAGATTTTTCCTCCTTCCATTGGCCATCGAGTGAAAGAATTTAGTATTTCCATCACCTTTTAAGAGCTATTTACATCTCCGACCTTTCCTTCTCGCTACACACTCTTTGAGCCTCCTTTTGATCTAATTCCTCAATCCTTTTAGCAATTAAGTCATTTTTTACTTCAATTCTCCCAAACTCCTCTTTATTCCAATCCTTTATCCTTTCTTTCAACCTCTTCAATTTTTTCATGAATCTCACTCCTTTATTATTGCTAGTGATCCCATCTTCCATCCATCAGTCCCTTTTTTTTTCAGCAAATTTTGGAATTTCTAGCCACATGTTTTCAAACCTGAAAGGTGTGGGGCCCCCAAGGGGATGCTCTTGATAAAGACACAAGGGACAATGATCTAAGGTTATCCTAGGGAGTGTCTTCAAAATTAAGTTTCCCCAAAGATCTTCCCACTCAACGGAAAAAAGGAATCTATCAAATTTAGAACACACTTGGTTTTCTTGAAAATTGGACCAGGTAAAGGAGGCTTGCAAGAGGTGGGGTTCTTTTAGCTATAGGGATTCTACCACGACATTAAATTTCCTCATACTTGTGGTTATTATCTGGTTTGGGTTATTTGTTTCATTTGTGTATCTTATGACGTTGAAATCACCCCTAGACACCAAGGGACAATGATCTAAGGTTATCCTAGGGAGTGCCTTCAAAATTAAGTTTCCCCAAAGATCTTCCCACTCAACGGAAAAAAGGAATCTATCAAATTTAGAACACACTTGGTTTTCCTGAAAATTGGACCAGGTAAAGGAGGCTTACAAGAGGTGGGGTTCTTTTAGCTATAGGGATTCTACCACGGCATTAAATTTCCTCATACTTGTCGTTATTATCTGGTTTGGGTTATTTGTTTCATTTGTGTATCTTATGACGTTGAAATCACCCATAGACACCAAGGTCCCTCCCACAAACCCCTAACAGGTGCAAGCTCCTCCCAAAACAAGTTCCTTTCTCTATATGAGTTAGGGCCGTACACATTTGTTAATACCCATTCATTTTCATCATTGACCCTCTTGGCTTTTATTGACACTGAGTAATGCCCAATTAATTCTTCTACACACTCCACCTCCTCATTCTTCCAAATCGTAAGAATACCCCCAGAGGCACCACAAGAAGGGGTAAATGACCAACTCAACCCCTTGCTGCTCCAAATGCTTCTTATCCACCTTCTATCTAGATTTGAGAGTTTTGTTTCTTGAATCATTACAACCTCTGGCTTCTCTTTCCTTAGCACATTTCTTATAATTCTCCTCTTTTTAGCACTCCCTAACCCTCTCACATTCCAGCACACAATCTTCATTGTACTTATTTTAGGCCCCTTTCTTCTTCCGGCACCTAGTTCCTTCTTCTGCTTTCCAGCTTTTCATAGGACACTCCGCACACTAACTTCACTTCACTCATTTTTCTCTTTCTTCTCTTATCTATACTTCCTTTCTAAGGTAGACTTCGGGTTTTGAATTCTCTCTTCCAGACATTTTTGGTCTCTCTCCCTTCTGCTTTTGCTGCCCATTGGGTTCTCTTATTCTACCACTATCTTTTTCGACTTCCCCCTCTCTCTCTACGCTCACTGTTATTTTCTGTTTTTCCAATTTATTCTCGTTAGACTTATTTGCCTCCAATAAAGTCTCTAAATTCCCCAAGACTAGGTCCACTATCTCCTTTACCCCTACTTTCCCACACCCTTCTTTTGCTAATTCTTCTGGCATTCTCAGGCCCATTTCTGCACCAGGTGTAGCTTCCAGGACTGGATCTGCACAACCAAGTATCGGGGAGTTAGTACAATGAACAGGAGAAATAGCACAGGTAGGGGAACGGGGAGAAGTAAGAGAAAAAAAAGAGACTCCCTGAAACGGGTGAGGCACTCCCAGCCCAAGGGCAGACTTTAAAGGGATATGCTCCTCCTCTGCAATAGCCCGGACCACTGAAATGATTTGTTCCTCAGTTGAACCTATGCTTAGGTCGTTTTGAAAGCCCAAGACCCCATTACCAATCACTTGCTCCTGAACTTGATCTGATTCTACCTCCTCTCTTTGTTGTAAATTGTAATTCAGTAGAACCTCAACAATCTGCGATCGAGTCTTCCATGCTTAACTCTTTTAGATCTACAGCTTCTGTACCTTCCCTCTCCAAATAACAGTTCAGTGCTCAGGTTGTCAGAGTCTCCTAGTCAGTGACTCTTTGTCTGCCTCATCTTCAGGCTCCTCATGGAGCTTTCTATGGTACTGTGGATTTGGCTTTTCTGGCATTGTTGACTTCTCTCCACCCTGATGATTCCAGAGGAGGTTCTGACTTGAAGCTTTCAGGCTATCTGGCACCCTGGAAACCAAAGGGAAAGCACCCCTGTTAGTAGCTCCCTCCGCAGGGGTCCTGGCGAGCAATCTGGGAGTCGAATGGTTCGATGATAGACCACAGCTATCATCCCCAAGAGAAGTCACATGACCATGCGCGTGACTCTTTAAGTTATCCTGGCTACCCCCGATCCCAACCAGCTTGTCCAGTTGAACCCCTGGTTCTGGTTGGCTTGTTTCAGTGGAGAGGCGGGCTTCAATCCTTTTACTGCTTTGTTTACCTTAACGTGGAGGGTCCAGATTTACATTTGTCTTAAGGGCCTCAGCAAATGTCTTTGATTGAGCCTTTGGATTGAATTCAAAGGCATTTGAAAAATTAACCTTAAGGGGAAAGGGATCCGTTCTGCCAAAGTCTTTGAACTCTTCAGTTTCCTTTACCTCTGTCCCAGTCTGACCTCTTGGTCTATCCACCTAGCTTCTGCCATGCGTCACCCAACCATCCACATCATCATTGTCTTCTTCCTTCTGCTGTGGGAACCAAAGCTTCGTCTCCAACTCTGTAACCAGCCAGATTGTTCTCCAACAGTCATCGGAAAAGATTTATAAAGCTCGAGGGATGTTCTCCTGCTTTGCCCCAACCACTTTCATCTTTGCAGCACAAAGGTCCCTCAGACGGTATGCTTCAAAAACCCCTCCACACATTGCTGCGATTTTATGGAAGAGCTGCTCCTTCCAGAGGTTGAATGGCAGTCCAACAATTTTAATCACCTGTGTTCCCATTGGGATTAACTTTTCATTACAGATAGGTGACCAACTTTCAATAGTTGTTCGACCAAAACTTGTTTTCACCACCAAAAGATCCAATGGAAGTTTTCCAATATCGAGGATTGCTCTCCTTTTGTCGAATGGTATAAGGATCACCTTCTTCGTTGGACAAATCTTTTCCACTATAGCATCTAACACTTCTTTCCAGCTTTTCACTTTGGTTTCTGCAGTCACAACCTTTTTTCTAGTCCAATCAGTTGTTTTCCCTTCCCTAAATATTTTTGGGCCATGGCAGAGGCCACCACTTTTGTTTCCTTATTTTCATCAATTATTTCCTCTCCTTCCGACCTTGTTTCATAACTCTCTTCAACTGTGTATGGGTCTTCTTTTTCTTTCATACCAGCCCTCTGCTCTACTCTCAGCTTCTCCTCTTCGATGATAATCATCTCTCCCAGTACTTAAGCCAACTTCCTCCAACCTTGTCTCTCTTTACCTTCTGGTACACAGATCATCTGTTTTTTACCTTGTCCGAAGAACTCTGTTAGTGTGATGAACCAGCCATTCCTATTCCTTCTATTCTCTACTACAAACTTCTTTCTTTCCCTGGACAACTCATTTCTCCACCCTGGTATTTTCACTGTAGGTTAATCCATCCACAAACCCTTTCAACCAGCATATCTCCTCCAAATCCAAGAAAACCATTGCTGTCCTGTCTTCTCTGATTTTCATATTTGTTTTTCCTCTAACCTTAGTCTCTTCTCGAAGAGAAACCACTTCTTCTCCAGCTGTAGTTCTTTACGCCATCTCCTTACCTGAATGAAGTCTCCTCTGATGCCGCTCATTGCCATGAGGTTAGCACTTCCTTCTTTTTTAGGTATGGGAGCAAAGGAACAACAGAATTTTGGAGAGCATTTAAAAAAGGCTATGCATTTCTACTGAAGATTTGTGTAGAGGATGAAGTGAACTTGCAGCAACTTCTGCTCATGGGGCTGTGGTTTACTTGCATTGGGCCCCACCTAAAGGAGAGGTCAAATTAAGCTTTGATGGATTTAGTTTGGACAACCTTGGAGCATTGAATATTGGAGTATTTAGAGGTCATGGGAACATATTGGCTATATTTTCAGGCCCTATTGTAAGGGAATTCCATCAAAGTTGAGTTGATGTCAGCACTACAAGGCCTAATATTGGCAAGAAAACTTGTGGAAAAAGTGGTATTGAAATGGACGCAATGCAATAAACAAGGACCTAGACAACATTGGCGTCACTTGAAAGAGTTGAGAACCCTAACTTCAAAACCGAATGCAAGCTTCATATGGACCTACAATCAGCAAACATGATGGCTGATGCCATGGTGGGATAAGGGGTGAATAGGGAACAAATGTATTGGGATGATAGGAAACCAAATGCAAGGGGAGGAGGTGGGTGCCAGCCTCACTAGGGGAATGCTCAGCGTTATATGGTGCCGTTTGCAATTAACCCCTTGTTCTTTTGATATATCTTAATAAGGGTTATAGTTACCTATAGAAAATAGTGAAACTTTAATCTAGGGGATGCCTTGACAACTATGTTTAGAAGATAATTGTATCTGTGATGTTCAATTGTTATATACATATTATTCATCTTCTTTTTGAGCAAATTACTCTTTGGGTGATTCAGGCAATCAAGGTTTTGAACATGATTAAACTCTATGGGAAGCCAATACGTGTAAATAAGGTGTGAATGATCCCTTCCTCTGTTTTTTGTTTTGTATGCTTTTCTTTCTTTCTTTCTTTTTCTTTTTCTTTTTCCTTTTATTTTATTTTTTTACATTTTGTGCCTTTCATTTTTGTTCTTAATTTAGCAATACAAGTTTCAATAGAGAATATATGTCTCATTAAAATCAAGACATTAAAACACAAGGTAGCACGGTGATTTGGTCTTGGTACATTGATTGCGTCCGACACCCTTCTTGTTTTTAGTCCAATATTTTATCAGTTGAATGTTCAACCTGTAATTAATTTAGGGTTTTTTGATGTATTTTCATTTTCCAGATCCAGAAGTCTTCATCTTCATGCCAGAGCTAGGTTATCAGAAATTGGACTTTTCAAAATTTTGTTATTTCTTGTTTTCTAGATAGTAGGGATGTTTTTGGACATTTACATGTCTGTTGGATTTGGCTGAAGAGCATCTGTCTAGTAATGGTTGGTTTGAGTTGAAGTTTCAAAGTCATTTATGACAGAATTGTAGTTTTAAGTTTTCTTAGTTTAAAGACTTAAGCTGACCCTATAGTGTTTTATATATTTCTTGCAAGTGCAAAAATGTGGTGACTATGGAGTTTATTTGAGTTTTTATAGCTTATGTTAAGAAGGGTGAATGATTCTTATGCCCTAGAGCCCTACCCACCCAATTGAGTGGTTCTTAACATCCAAGGATTCATCAATGAAAGAGTTCATCTAACATCCCCAAGTGACTGAAATTGATCCAGATACCTTATTCAGGCTTCTATGGAAAACTGATACTTCCCCTTCTAGCCATTTTCATWTGCATTAATAATTGGATTTATGAAAAGAATTGTGTTATATACAGTAAATCTAGATTTGCACCTGTCAGTTTAATCTAGCAATGCCACCCAATCCACAATCCACTTAAATCAGGGTATACTAATCATCCTCCTAGAAATAATCCCCCAAAACAGTTGAGCTCTGCCAGTCCATCTCCAAAKWGTTATTTATTTATTTTTTTTCTTTGAATTCAGCTGAATGTTGATTTCAACTCTTTAGCAAGGTGCTTGATTTCTCATTATATATATGTATTGTCAAGGTCACTCACTCTGTTGTTGAGCCAACTAATAACAATCCTTGAATCTCCCTCTACTACCAATTGGCTAAAGTGTTGATCCCTTCCAATTCTTAACCATTAAAGAACTGCCAATAATTTTATTTTGGTAAGCAATAGAAGATTTTATTAATTATTCAATCAGAGAAATGTATACAATCAAGATTTCCCAAACAGAACTGCCATCCCATTTGCTGTTCCCACTGAATCCTTGCAAGTTACAACTACATTTGTAGTCAACCACTTAAATATCTTGATTGCCTGTGATGTGGACGCCGGCAGCAGCAGCAGTAATTTAGTGTTCTCAGCAGCAGCAATTTAGTGTTCTCATCCTATCTTATCTATTCAGTATTCTTAYCTTATCTGCTTTCAGTAGHAGGGATTAGTAGGAGTCTTATCTATTCAGTGTTCTTATCTTATCAGTTCAGTAGTATGGATTAGTAGGGAGTCTTATCTTATCTTATCAGTAGGATAGATTAAGAATGTCTTATCTTATCTTATCTTATCAGTTCAGTAGGATAGATTAGTAGGGAGTCTTCCTAATTAGCAAGGAGTCTTCCTAAAAGTAGGACTCTTATCTCTTGTAATCTCCTATTTAAGGAGCTGAGAATATTGAATAAAATCATCGAAAATTTCAGTCAAGAAAGAGAGCAAGGAGAGTTAGGTGATCTCTTGGACAAATCATCATTAGGGCGCCAAGATAGGTTCATCAAGAGCAGGGAGGAACAAGGGAAAACAGGAGGTTTTCCTCGTGGACTGACCCGTGACGAGATCCTATTCTCGGGCCCATAACAATTTGGTATCAGAGCAAGGTATCATGGGTGACTTTGAGCAATTAACGTCTAGGGTTCATGATCTGGAGCACAAACTCGTGGAAAACAGAAAGGGGGTGCGCGAGATCAAGGACGACGTCCGAGAATTAAGGCGCATGATGGAGTTGTACTTTTCCAGCAAGGAACCTGGAAGGGGCTACAACCACAACCGGCTGCCGACCAGACATGTCAGAATCGTCCGGTGAGTAGCAGGTCGTTGCCCTAGCGCAGGTTAGCAACACCCAGAATGTTCCGATTAAGYAGGAATCTGGCGTCGTCGAGGATTCCATCGACGAGAGTTCAAAGAAGAATAAGAGCAACTACTCCAAGGTCGTCATTGCTGGTGAAGGAGCTTGTATGCCTCATGTTGCGGCTGCAAATGTTGCAAAAGAGTGTTTGTTAGCTGCAGTCAGATCAGATYCTAGGGCTGCACATATCTGGGTGAATCTTGCTAATGCATACTATTTGGCTGGTGATCATAGAAGTGCTGGAAAGTGCCTGGAGAAGGCATCAAAACTGGAGCCTGATTGCATGTCAACTCGATATGCTGTTGCCCTTCATCGTATCAAGGATGCAGAAAGGTCTCAAGATCCCACTGAACAACTTTCATGGGCTGCGAATGAAATGGCTTCAATACTCAGAGAAGGGGACTCTGCAACAATTGAGCTTCGGATAGAATGGGCAGGACATTCCATGGTTCACAAGACTCAGCATGAAATTGCAGCAACGTTTGAAACTGGACATAATGATTTGACGGAAGTGGAAGAGCGAGCTCTGTACACACTAAAACAGGCAATAGAAGAGGATCCAGATGATGCAGTTCAGTTGCACCAGCCTGGCATTCACAATCTTTGTACTCTACAGTTCAAGACATCTCAGAAGTACCTTAAGGCTGCAGTTGCCTGCGGCAAAGCATGCAGCTACGCATGGTCAAATCTTGGTATCTCACTGCAGCTGTCTGAGGATGAACCCTCTTCATTGGAACCCGATCCAGGAGGGCAACTTCATTCCACCTATCCAGGAGTCCTTTGACTATGTTTCAAGACACCCATCCTTAATTCGAGCTTGAGGACAAGCTTGTAGTCCAGGAGGGGAGTAATGATGTGGACGCCGGCAGCAGCAGCAGTAATTTAGTGTTCTCAGCAGCAG